AACAAGCAAAAATATCCAGTGTCCTTTAACCACATGAGGACTCAAATTAAAGAATACAGATGAAAAAGAAACATTTCAAACAAAAAGGAGTATTCAGAAATTTACAGGCGTTCATATCTTTACCACCAGGTTTAAATGTTAATCTTTTGCCTTATTTGCTTCATATCTCAGAACAAACCTTTTTTTCAAATTTTTATGTTCCTAATTTCATGTAGTTGTTCATACATAGATTTAGACACTGGGTATGTATTGATTGGTTTCTTTGGGCGGGAGTAGGGCCTTAAAATTTTCTACACATTTTCTCAGCTTATTAGCCACATATTAGTAGCAATGTGCTATTTCTTTGTGTTTCAACGCCATCATTCACCGTTCAGTTCCTGGACATTTGGGTGGGCTTAAAGGGGCCACTTTGGAAGTCAGCAAGCCCATTTGCTAAAATAGATTATAAAGTATTTCTTGCCCTTTCTTCCACTTCCTATGACATATGTCATCTCAAGGCTTTAGAGAGGCAAAGCCATCAACTGTGCCATCCAGTCACCCAGGTGGTTGGCACTTGATAAGTAAAGGTGATTAAAAGGGACTCCCTAAGTATTTATTTCACAGTCTTCCCTTTCCAGGAAGTAAGTGATACCATGGTACTCATGAAAGCATTGTCTCCAGCCCTCCCTCCCCGCACCGTGTGCCTGACCTAGAAGTAGACACTGAGAAGCCATGGGGAGGAGGAGGCCTTGAACTTCATCATTCTGGACTCTGGGAGCCTCTGTACTCAAACTGTGCTCTGGACCCACACAGGGCAGTGGGAAGGATTGACGTGAGCTTGGGTGTATGAGATAACAGACACCAGCTCTTCTACCGAACTTAGAATCTGTAAATTTTTAACAATGATCTTCCATTGCCCCAAGGATGATTCTGAAAGTGAGAATTTGGGGACTTTAAGCTCTCACTTGTACAAGCAATTTCCAAAGATTCCACGTGAAGCTCTGGCGTTGCCCTGCAAGGTCTTCAGTTTCCAGTGTTCAACCTCCCATGATATCTCTCTCCTAGGGAGCCAGAGCTTCTACCTGGAGCACACAGACGACATCCTCTGCCTCACAGTGAACCAGCACCCCAAGTACAGAAACGTGGTGGCCACCAGCCAGATAGGTAGGAGGGTCTGGCTGAGGCTCTCCCAGCTGAGAAGGAACACAGATTTAGCAATTATTGGGAGAGGGAGCGGGTGGGTCACTGATGTCTACCCTTTCTTGTTGATGTTGCTGTTGATTTTTTTGAGCCCTGAATATATCTGGGCTGAGTTAACACATCCAGTGATTAACAATTCTGAGGGACCATAAAGTCAGATCAGAGCTTGATAGTCCAAATAAATAGATGGCCCCCATCCCTGTGGATCTGTGAGGTTAATTTTTTGGACCCCAGGTGTCAGATGAAGACCCTGTGTCTTGAAGCCTGGTGATTGTGCTGGCAAGGGTGGACGGCAGTATGTGTGCCTGGGTCTCCCGTACCCTAGGGAACTGCCAACAACAAATGTGAACTGATTCACATTTGTGAAGAGTTTGTTTGTTTGTTTTTACTTTGTCATTCCAAGGGCAGTTTTCACAAAAGTATCTTCCTGCTTGTTCTCATGGAACTCATGTCCATTTTAAAATTTGATTTGGAATTTTCTGATGCTGGTGTTGAGTGCTTCACTATGAGACACATGACTCATTTTAGCTATTGTTTTCCCTTGACGCTTCCTCATTGCCATTGCCCACCCAATGCAGGTGACATTATGGAAACCCCAGGTAAGGCTGTTCCATTCGTGAGTAGTTTGAATCTGCACAGCAAAATCATATCAATGTATCATGTGTGCTGATTGTATCTGGCTAAAGTGCAGATACAAATCATTGACCTCGCCAGTTTCCTTTGTATAAAATCCTCTATGAGTGTGTGTGTTGGACATAAACATCCATAGGGCTTTGCCTTTAAAAGCAGGTTTCCCATTGTCTTTCTCCTCTGGCCAGGTCACACCATAGGTCTCTCATGCCCAGTAACTATAATGCCCCTAAACACTTGTCTTGAAAGGCTTTTATGTGAACACGAGCATTGCGTAGGCACCATTGTTCCCCAGACTTAGCTCTTTCTCATCCTCCCCATGCTCAGGCACGACACCTGCGATCCACGTGTGGGACGCTGTGACCAAACACACCCTCTCCATGCTGCGGTGCTTCCACTCCAAGGGGGTGAATTACGTCAACTTCAGCGCAACTGGAAAGCTCCTGGTGTCGGTGGGAGTGGACCCTGAGCACACCATCACTGTCTGGCGATGGCAGGAAGGTAAACAAGCTGGGCTTTCTGTTCCTCCAGGGGGCTTGCCTGTGACATTGGCTGGGCTGGAACCCAGATATGCTCCACTCTGAAGCCCACCATGGGCACTGCTGCAGGGTGAGCAAAACCAGGGTTCTTGGGATCCTGGAGAAGCTGCTCGTCACACGCCACTGCCTCCCTTGGCCCCAGGAGCAGAAGAAGGCTGTCCAGGGAATCCTGGGCCGCTTAGGAGGGGTCTTTGGACACTTTGGGAAAGTGCCCTGATGTGGCCAGCCTTCTTCCTCAGACAGAACGCAGCATCCTCCCTGTTTCTGTCTTCACTGCCTTCCTCCCAAACTTCCTTGTCCTCAGCGTTCTGTCTGGTGGCCCTCGTGTCCTGCTACAGCCGAATCACCTTGATCACCTTATTACAAGAACTAGGATGATGTTTTGCCACCATAGTCTCAAGAGCAAAATTAAAAAAAATTTTTTTTTAACATTTTAACACTTTTGAAATGAGAACACATCCTACAATCAAGGTTTACATTTACTGTGGTAGGATTTCTTTCTTGTCCTCCCCCAACACACACACACACACACACACACACACACACACACTGCTACTAAATTCATGGTCATCTTATAATTAAAGATGTGCAATCTTCCGTGTATATTCTCAGGTCGGGTACTGCTCTGGCAAAAGCAGATCCAATTAGCGAGGACATTAACGAGGTCTGTCTGCAGCCAGGCAGCCTGTATCTAGGACACGCCAGTCCAGGCAAGCATGGAGGTGGCATTTCTCCAACCCAGGGCTCCAGAGTCCCATTATCTCTTCATCTTCCCATGGGGGTGGGGGGCACTTGCAAAGAGATGGGGACATGGGAGGAAAGTTCCAACCCCTCCTGAGCCCCATATGAGAAAAAGAGCTTGATGGCTCTCAGATGTTCCTGATTCTCACTCACCATATTCCATCGGGAGGTAGCTGGATCTGTAGTATTTCTAGGAAACCACATTTTCTCAAAATTTTCCTGTTTACCAGTATAT